CAGGTTAAAATTTCTCCATGACTAGAAATAACTCCTTCTTAGGACCTTGGTTCAAACCTACATATTCTCACCTACAAGTATTAATCTTTATTCATTCCATTAATCTATGTTAAAAAGGTGACTTCAGAGTCGCCTTTGTCTGTTAATACAATGTTTATAACTTTTTAATTTAGCAATTATTATTTGAATAGTTTATACCTTGTACCTGTAGCTTTAACAGCATCTAAATCAATGCTTTTTAACTTCCTCTAACTCATAAATGCTATATTTTATGTGGATAACTTATAAAAACTATATACCCATTGATCCTCACATTATAGTACATAAGACATCTAAAAATACAAAACCAGAGGACTTGTGCAAACAACTTATAGATTTGAGAAGTTACATTATAAGTTGACTCTTTCCATTGTGGAATATTGAAAATTTTATTAGGTGGAATTCAGACTTACACACATTATCAAAAGGCCATTTAATCTTTTTGTTTATAATTTTACTTACGATGCTGTACTGACTTGGAATTTTGGGGGGGTTAGGTTAACAGGACTGATTTGCAAAGATCGGCACTGAAGCAGATTTGTTTGGGTTTGCTTTGCGCATAAACATAAAAATATATATAGAAACACATGTATACACACCTCTCCCCTCATATATCACTGTAAGACAGCAAAATACACGTAGTGATTTTTTTAGCTTTTATTTACTAACTGGAAGCATGGTCTGCCTTCCTGAGAACACAATATAAACAAAGTCTGGCTCACAGTGACCTCATAATGGCCTGCTGGTCCAGCCCTGCTTGTTCATCTATACTTACCACATGCCTGCGCAGAAGCAGCACTTTTGAGGTTGTATTCTCTAAAGTCGAGTGATAGGATATCCCTTTTAACTACATGGATAGGCTTGTTTTAAATTATTTTACTAGTAGGGCTAAAGTAGGGATGGAACATGGCAGATATTTTTGTTTCAAAATTACATACATTTCCTGTCCCAGGTTTATTAATTATCTAAGAACAGCTGGTACATAAAACATACTAAACATTTTTCTTTGGGTAGTAGGTATGTGCATTTGTTTGTTCATTGAGCTCAGGCTTGTAAGATATTTAACTCATTATTTTTTTGGTGTGATTTATTTATTTTTGTTTTTTGTTGTTCAGTTACAGTTGTCCCCATTTCTCCCCCATCATTTTTTAATAAACTCTCATAAGTTCTCTTTTGTACCTCCATTCTAACAAATGTGAAACAAATTAATCTGAATCAATTAATGACCTCCCCAAAATTGCATCTAAATTTGATAGGGCTTACAGATTGCAAAGATAATGAGATGGGAGAGTTATATGGGCATTTTATCCTTGTCGAAACCATTAAGATGTCCCAATTTCCTACCTGATCATTGGTCATTGCTTCATATAGATCTCATCCTTGTTTCTACCTCAAGGCCTGTCAGTTCTTTGGACTTTGTTCATATTAGTCTTGGACACATAGTAATATTCTCAGCTGATTCATGGGAAACTTTGAGAGGTTGCTACGGACTTGGCTGTACAGACATTCTGTGTGCACATGTCTTTAACTCTTACACAACATGGGATCTCTTGCTGCGTCCTTGAACTCCACAGTATGATTTTTCACAGCTCTTCAGCCCTAAAACTCCTTCCAGGATTCTGTCAATTCCTGCCCTTCCTTGGGAACTCTTTCCCCCTCTCTGTTTATGGTACTCGTGGTCCAGTTTCTGAATCTTTCCTAATAATTGGTCAGAGAGCATGGAAGTTTTGCTCTTGTTATACATTCCATCTCTTTTTCTTATCCCAGTGTCAAGGTTTTGAATTTATTTTCATTGTGACCTTGTATGTCATTGCTTTCCCAAGCCAGTAAAGATGACATATTTTTCCTACCTAGATTGGGGATGCTTTTAAAGGTAAAGAAATGTGAGAGAGAAGGAAAGATAATTTTTTCATGTTGAAAAAAGTACTATTTCACCAGATCTGTATTTTAATTTCAATTTTAAAGAATTTATTTTCCCAGTTGTGGAGTAATATTATTGTAAAATCCATGGTTATTGCAATATGTGCATTGTTAAAAGAATTCCTGAGAATTTTGAAGCATATTTAAAAAAAAACAACAGAACCAGAATAATCAGACCTGTGTTTTTATATCGTGACACTTCTGAATGCTTCAAAACATTCTTAACTGGGAAACTTTTTAAGTGAACATAAGGTGTGAAAACTTAACACTTAACAATTTCTACTTAGAATTCAAGATTCAGATTTAATGTTTTATAGATATATACTTTATATTTTTACCACGTTTTTTGGAAAGCAAAGGAAGGCTGGGAAGAGGAGGAAGAAGGTTCTTCTTTCTCTTCTCATTTAACTTCTCACCGTGAGAAGTTCCAGACGGAGGCCCATTAGGAAACAGCAGCAGACGGCCTCCCCAGACCCTCCCACCCAGCGTCAGCGACTCCCGGCCGACCTTGTTTTGTCTGTGTGCCCACTCTTCCTCCCCCCACCCCTGCCACTGGATTATTTTTTAAGTTTATCCCATTTTGATGGTGGATAAATAAGTATCTAGCCATTCCAATGTCATTACTTAGTCCAGAACCCAAAACTCCATCCATTTACTTAATACTTTTGGAGTGCAAGATAAATATTTTGCAATGGGTACTAGCCTAGGCACAGCGTATGTAGAATGCAATGTAAACTCTTGGAAAAGATTCACATTGGGTACTAGTTCGTTACACACGGTTATCATTTCTCATTTCTCTTTGGAGCGTTTCAGTATCTTTCCATCACATTACCCTCAGTTGTTTTGTTTTTTTTTTAAAGCCCTCAACAAACCTTTCCTCTTCCTTCCTGGCCCCCTTTGTCTCACTGACTAACCTTCCACTTTAAAACTGCCTGGGTATACAACCACACTGGCCTCCTGGTGTTACTGAAACGTTTCTTTTTTGTTCCCACTCAAAAATCTTTGTACTTGGGGTTGTGTGTGTAACACTGTCCCCTCAAATATCCACACGACCTACTCCCTTGCTCCTTTAAAAATCTTCTCTGCCCTCAGCTGCTTACCAAAGTACTTCCAGACCCCCAGATATTTGTCCTGACCTGTAGATACCAGTTTTGCAACATACACCAAAATTATTTCCAAGAGGTTGTTTAGATATCAACTAGATAATTATTATGGTATTCTTTTCTGTGTGATACTAAAAAATCACGAGACACTAGGCATTATGCTTAGATCATCACTTGTGTTTTGTGCCACGTGCCTGTCAGCGGTGGAGCTGTGCTTGTGAAGTACCTGTACAGCTAGTTTGCGCTGCTGCAGTTCTTACCCCTCAGTACTGTCCACACCACCCCGTGCACATTGACTGTCTCAGGTACCCTTTGTCCTCTCCCGGCAAGTTAAGGTCAGTTGTTTGTGAATATGTGTCCTTTAAAATCTTGCCCTAGGCTCTGCTTCGTCTACCCCACTTCCACCTGTTTCACTAAGATTTCTTCAAGATACTGTATCTTGTCCTGGCAAAAGTGCAGTGAGATTAGTGTTCTCCGTCACTGCTGGTGGAAGTGAAGAACTCTGGGAATGTGCATGAAGAAATTGAAATATGTTCATGTGCTTTAATTTCATTTTTAGGAATGTAGCCAAAGGAAAATGCATGTGTAGAAGTATATACATGTATGTCTGGGTGGTTGAAATTATGAGATTATTTTCTGTTGCTTTCTTTTCTGCTTCCACATTTCTTTAATACTCATCTACTTTTCTTCCTTCTTTTCTCTGTCTTTTTGTTTTCTCTCTTTCCCATCAGTATTTCATTGCTTTATTTTGCTTAGTATTAAAATGGTATGTGGAAGTAGAGAATATGTGGGAAATCTCTGTCTCTTCTGCAACTATAAAAGTGGTCTAAATAGTCTGTTTTATAATAAAGTTAAGTAAATAAATAGTATAGTACTTTAAAAAGAAGAAGCTATGTTTTACTGGGATAACATTTGGTTCATGGTAGAAACTCCATAAATCATTGTTGATTTATGAGCTGGACTGAGCAAAGTTTCCTCTTCATATGAGAAAGTAGGCTCTTTGTGTTTAAAGCCTGTATCCTACTGTTGCTGGTGAAGGGGTTCTTGCCCCAGCTGAAGAAATCAAGAGAGGGGGAAAAACAGATTCAAAAGAAGAGGCTTACTGAAAACAAGGTGGGGGGAAAGGAGAAGGTAGGGAGCTTGTTGCTTCAAGGGAGTACAGACTAACGAAGAGTATGGCTCCTGTACCGCTGCCTGGGTCTGGCTCATATGGGGCTGGGTCCTTCATGCAGGCACGGAATAGATTTCGGGTATCAACCAGCGTAGGTGCAGAGCCGAGCTCTTTGAGAAGTGTCTGAAGAGAAATGTCAAAGTTACCTAGGAGAGGCTTAAAAAATGACTGAAGAGAATTCCCATCCGTTTGAGTTCAGCTCAGCCTGCCTCAAGATAATGAAGTTATTTTGGATAAATGAAATGTTTTGGAAATTTAAAGTGTTTTTAAAATAAAAGTGTATTTTTATGCCTTCCATTTATATGAAAGATTCTTTAAAAACCTTATTACTTGACATTTGTTTTAAACATTTCTTCCCCCGAATTATAGGAACTGCATTATACTACTATTTTGTTTGTTTACTAGAGGTGATTTAAATCGTCCAAATCCTGAAGGTTAGGAAATATACTCGTGCACATGCAGGCGAATTGTTCCTGCTTCTAAATGTACTTGTGCTGTTAAGATATAGGTAGTTGGTTATTTCTTCTACAGCGATATATGTCATGACTAAATTCCTGCACATTTTTTAAAAGTGTATTCAGTTGAAGATCTTTCTTATTCCTGAGAAATTCAGTCTTTCTTGTTCATTAATTATTCGAATTACTTTTATACATTTATTGTCACACTTTATCTTATAAAGTACCACAGTACCCGGGATGGTTGTGCCCGCATTCATTTAGCCACTGCATGAGTTAGAGTTGTTTAAACATGTTTTCTTTTTCCTGTAGTGGTTCCCCCTGGAAGCCCTGGGCCCATTACTCGGCATGGGTCCTATGACAGTTTAGCTTCTGACCACAGCGGACAGGAAGATGAAGAATGGCTTTCTCAGGTAAAAAAGAATGGCCTGTTACAGTGAAAGAAAACAGGGATCTGTTGTCTGTTTCCATTCTTGAATTTTAAAACTTATTTTCCCCAGAGGAAAATGAACAGAATTGGGAAATCTTTTTAGGATTACTAATAACTAGTCAGCTGTCTTTCCATATTAAGAATTTGTCATAAACACTGTGGCAGGGATCCATGCACCTATATTATTTATACGCACATATGTATATGTGTGTACCAGCTTTCATGCAGACAGCATAAAATATGCACGTCTTTCAAACAGTCCACTTATGTTCCTTAGGACCTTGGATTTTAGGTGGACACTTTGGGTTAAAATAAGAATTGGCCTTGCTAAAACAGTGAAACCATTTGACAATCTTTGGGATTTGTTTTGTGGAGTCACCATTTTTCTGAATATCAGGCCCTTACTTGGATTAGGAAGGTTCAGCATTCTGGTCTGCACAAGCCCTGACTGTGCCCACGGGGTCTCCGCTCTCGCAGGCTGCTTCCGGCGGCCTCAAACGCAGTCCTGGGGCGGCTCCCGCAGACCCTCCCTCCCCTGGCCAGGTGAAGCTCGCTTCATCTCAAGGGCTTTGAAATAAAAGGTACTTGGGCAGATTTCAAAGTGATGAGATTACAAATGACTTCATTACAAATGCTGTTATGTCTGCCTCAAAGCTGACATCACTTGGTGAAGTTAATGACCCGTCTCAGATTACCAGTCCAGGGGCTTTTCCTGAGACAGGTGCGCGGCGGAGGCTCGGCGTGGTGTTGCTGCTTTGCCGGGGAGGGCAGCCCGAAGAGCGAAAAGAAGCGTGGGCACTGGGGAACGAAACGGTTTCTAGGTGACACGTTTCATCACACCTAAAACACAGGACGCTCTTTCAAGGAGGGTCGGTGCTTCAGTTCCTGGCCTATGGAGAGACGTCCTTTCTCGAACATAACACAATACATTTTTAAAAATAGAAGAAGGCTGGTAAAGAAACCACTGTCCTTCACTTCAACTTTTCAATTAGCAGCAGGGGTGACGTGTGCTGTCAGTGTGACCGTGCACACCATGTGTCTGTGCTGCACACGGCAGGGGAGTGAGCAGGAACATCTGGCCGTCGCCTCCGTGCGACTGCACTGGCATCTGTTCACCTCTCGGCTCTGCGGCACTGATGGTCTTGAGCTTAAAATACACACAATGCTTTATCTGTGGCCTAATTCACATTACTGAATACAACCACTTGAATCAGAAATCACTGTCCTAAATCTGAGCAGTTGTCTCCCTGTGAGCCACGGGAATGTGAATATTGTTCGAAGGCCGTGATGCTTGTTTTGCCCTTTAGGACTTTCAAACACAGAGCTGCACTCTGTGGACCTTTTCAGTTATGTTTTGTTAAGAATTAATCACTGCAATCAGAGAAATGTGATTAAATATAAAGGAACTCAGGGCCAAAAGAAGGCACATGGGAAGTCAGTTCTGTAAAGTATGTGCACAGACAAGGATATAGCAGTTACAAGACACTGAGAGACAGTCTTTCACCAAAGGTTTGCAATATTTAGTCTTATGCATGTTGCTCATTTGTAAAATTATATATTTGTTCTCAAGTTTCACCCAGTGTCTCCTATTCTGAGCATGAAATTCTTAAAGCATTTTAGTTTTACTGTTTTGCAGCCCTTAAAATACCTGTGTCACTCTTCATGATAGTTGAGAAAACTCTGAATGAGTAATGGTATTTTGAAGACAAATCCAGTCGGACAGAAAACATGTCATACTCTCTTAATTTAAAAGTGGATTATGGGGTATTTTGAAGGCAGTATAGTAAATATTACAATATTTAATTGTGGAAATAAATGGGGCTTTGGGTGTTGAAAACTATTTTAGATCTTTGTATTTCCTCTTGGATAGTTCAAGATCAGCTTCAAATTTGTCATGAGCTTGATCCTCAATGAGGGAATTATTTTTAATTTGCAGCATATAGGTGTAGTAATTTGCAGCATATATGCCCACAGAGTGGTAAGTATGTCTAGAATGAATGAAAAAGATAGTCCCTAGGGAGCCGATGCTGGTTTTATGAGACAGGCAGCAGGCATACCTATATACTGTGTATTTGTGTGTATACACACATATATATACATGCACAAAAGCTTTTTGTTTATTTTTGTGGAGACTTGCAGGAGGGGTACAGTGAATATCTGTGTAGGCTGTGATTATCATTGCACCTTCGGCTGTGGGAGCCCTGTTCCTCTCTCGCTTGGTTAAAATAAGCTTCTTGAAGAATGTGTTCAGAGACAGGGTCAGGGTGGGGATATTATAAAAGCTCTGAAAGGTCATAGCACATTTAAATCTTGATTCCTGATCTGTTTCAGGTAGAGATTGTAACGCACACTGGACCCCACAGGCGGCTGTGGATGGGTCCACAGTTCCAGTTCAAAACCATCCATCCCTCAGGCCAAACCACCGTCATCTCTTCCAGTTCATCTGTGCTGCAGTCTCATGGTCCAAGTGATACTCCACAGCCCCTTCTGGATTTTGATACAGATGATCTTGATCTCAATAGTCTCAGGTAAGAAATAAGAACCAGGGGAGTCGTTTCACTGGAATAATCTGTTCATTTGTAAAGAGCATCGTCAGCAGTATTTACATTTCCCCTTTGGGCACAGTGTCATGTTGCAGAATACACACACTGTACATCGTGATTCCTTATTGTCACTGGGGATCTTGTGTGTGATCTCATTGTATCCAGTAAATGTTTGTGTTTTGGATTACATTCCCCAAAATGTTACGTTCATTACACCTTTTAAAGCCACTTCGTGTTGCCTCACTCATATTTCTAATTGCCTGAAGTCTGGTGATACCCTCCTGTCCTGATCCTTCTCTTTCATCTTCCAGCTGAACTACACATCTGTCCTAATCCTGCAGATTTCTTCTCTCAGGCTTTGAAAGGTTTTGGGATAAGAAAGTGTTGATACAAATTCACGTAGAGTTTTTCATCTTTATATATTCGTGATCCCCACTTGTCAGAATGATAATACAGGGCTTACAAAGTATGCTTTTTTATTAGGTTTTTTTTTTAATGTAGCTGAAAATTTTTTGACTTTTGCAATTCAGGTTTGCTTAGCAGTTTGATTTGTTACATGAAGATGACACATTTGTGGACAACAGACAATGAAGGGCTCAGTCTAATGCAATATAATCTGCCTTTCCATGTCTTCTCTTTTTAAAAAGTTCTGTAGTGTATCTTTCATTGTGCTTAAAAAGCCCTCTGAAGTTTTCCTTGCATCCATTTTTTAAAATTGTGGAGAAATGTATCCCATTCAGATGCTGGAAATGTGCTTTTAGCTGTCTCTTTGCCAACATTGATTTGTCAACAAACCTTTATAAGAAAGCAAAAGCTGTTGTAGAGGTGGATGTTTTCTTTTTTAAGAATCATTTATATAATGGAATATATCTTCTTTAATACCTTGTTTAGTGTTTTAGTGTTTTTTAGTTTGCTTTGTATTTTCTTTCTTCCATTCCTTATCCTTTTATTTTTCTAGCACATTTTCATTCACTTTGTAAAAATTTCCCCAAGATGTCAGGCAATAGTTAACAATATAGTGTGTACTAGAGCAATTTTCACTGGTGCCAATTGTGAAATATGTTCTAGCTTAGATAGTCAATCCATTTTCAGCAGGTCAGGATGAGTTAGTCTTCAGCTTAGTGATGTAATGCGTAATCATTCATGTTTATGTCGTTCAGTTGCCTAGATGTTAATATGAAGGTATAACATAAGACCATGTTTATTCTCTTTACTGCTCTTCTCACAAGACTCTATTCTTTTTTTCCTGATGACTGTTACCTGCTGCTATAACAAGACCCTATCCATTTTCTTTGGAGGACACAGCTCTGTTGTTCTTTTTTTTTTGTGACCTCCTCCAGCTTTCTTTGTGACCCTTCACTTCAGACACAGTCCTTTGTCCAAGAGCTCTCTAGCTTCTCCAGACAGTGCCACTTTCCTGAAACCCTTCCAGAACTTTCCTGAGGGGCCTTCCTTTTCCTTACACTGAAGAGCTCCCACTATTTGTTATCTAAATGGCATTAAATTGTTTATGTTCAATTAAAATATTGTCTTATTTTTTGGAAACACATAAACTTTAGAACTCTACATGTTGGGTTGCAGGTTTATAAATCTCTTCTGATTGCCCTTATAGGTTATGTTTTTAAATTTGAGCATATAAGCCCTTGATTAAGACCTCAGCCCCCATTAGAGCACAGTTTCGATGGGAAATTCGGATTCATCTCACATCATTTTAATTTTAAGTGCCCTGTTTAGGACCGTTTCCAGCCCAGGATCCAGTTAGAAACCCACCTCTTCGTATTCCCTCTGTTCCCCTCCCCGTCAGCTCCTCCCCCGTCTCTTCTCCGTTTTTCAGGCACAATGGCACCATGGCTGTTGGCCTTACTGTCTCCTTTAAATTCTGAAGCTTTGTTTGGATTTTTTTTTTCCTCGATTGACCCAGGACCCTGTCCTGTACCCTGAGAGATATGACTAAGAGTTATGTGGTTAATAAAATTCGCTTGAGGTGGTGAACACACAATGCAGTATACAGATGATGTGTTGTGGAGTTGTACACTTGAAACCTATGTAATTTTATTAACCAATGTCTCCTCAATAAATTCAATTAAAAATAAACAAATAGACTAAATAAATAAAATAAAAGCAAACAAAAACCCCATGAAGATTCACTGTACACTTTAGTGGTTTTTAGTGCTATCAACATCCCCACTGTTTAATTTCAGGATACTTCCATCACCCCTGCCAGTTTGTTTTTATTTTGTCTTTTTTTATGAAAAAGTCTCAAACATACGAACACATGTAGAGTCAAAGAGAGTAACAGAACACAACCCGTGTGTGTGTGTGTCACCCTCAGCACGCCTGTTCTCGGCCGGCCTGGTTTCTTCTATAGCACCACCCTCACCTCACTCCCAACTCTAGATTGTGTAGGAACTGCACTATAAACTGAGTTAATGATAGTACATGTGTTAGCCCACGTGAGCTGTTTAGACCAGGAGAGTGCTTTACTTTGCCTCAACTGACCATATCTAACAGGCTAGCTTCTTGTTTCTCTTCAGAACCAGGAAACATCTTTTACAGAAATTTCCAATAAACTCTTCCTCTTTTCTCACTGGCCCCAATTTGCTTAGGCCTGCCCATTCCAGGTCTAATTAGCTCCTGCCCTGAGGAGATGGGATTACCATGACTAGTTTAGAAAAATAAGCCGAGGTGAATGAATATATCCTGTTGCTCACTATAGCAGTGACCAGTATTGGTATGTCAACGTTTCTAACTTCTAGTGCCCAATCAAATGGAGTGTCCTTCACCTCCCTCCCATTTCTTTCTTCCACATAACAAATACTCACACATTTAAACTGTGCTTTCAGTAACTACTCTTTTCTCTGTCGTCCATACTTGGCATTTTAGGCTTCTATGATACAATCGGTCTCATGGTGCTTACCAGCCTCTTCTCTTCCACCAGTATCCACGATGAACTCTATATACTTCAGCCAAATCCTGCTCCTCACGACGCCCCACTTTGGTCACGCTCAGTCACAGATCCAAGGATTTGATGTTCTAGTTTTGTGCTTAAAGCACGCTCTGTTCTTCTGCATGTATGCATAGCCCCGTACTGTGTACAGATGCAGGTCCTGTTATAGCTCCACAGCATCTTCTCAGTCTGCTGTAGACCATTCATTCTTCCCTCCCCTTCGTCATTCTGAGCTTTTATTACCTACTTCATTTTCACACGTTACGTTTTCTTCTGCAGCACTTACGAGCATCCCTGTGCTGTTCTGTGTCCACACATAGACCTTGTATTTCATGTTCTGTTTCTGCTTGTCCCTCGAGTAACAGTGATACCTGATTAATATTCAGCAAGTATTTACTGAATAAACAAATTGCCAAAATGCATGCACACATTGTTGTAACAAGATTTTATTCTCCTAAGTTGCTTGGGATGTTCAGATCTTTTAGTCATACAGACATTTTTATGCTCATAATACTACAGGCAGAAAGAGACCCTTGGTATTTATAGATTTACCATACATAAGCAACTTGAAGTTGTCTGTAATAAATTGCAGTTTTGCTGAGATTCTAATTGATTCTTACATGCCAATTGGTAATTTTATGGTGGTGGTTCAGATATAGTGATCCTAGCTAAACCTTTGGCAGTCACAACCCAACACAATTTTGTTATGCTGTGCATGTTTTCATCGAGGATTTTAAGGGAGTTACTAAAATACGTGTATCTAGTATTGCTGCCTTTTATAGGAGGCATTGCCAGCTATTGCACTATTCATGAATTAGAAGATTCTCAAAACTCTTCATATTTGCCCCTTGCAAAAGCTGAAGGTCTCGGTGTGAAGTATTTTGTTTCCTCTCCCATTCTACTTAATTTATTTCTCTCTTTTTTTGTAACAAATTCCTTTATTATATTCTTTTCCAGTACCATTTAGTCCCTTTGGACTTCCTCCCTCCAGTTAATTTACTTCTTTAAATTAACATCAATTTTTCAATCCTTTACCTAAAATCTGTTGAGTAACATACGTATGAAGAGAAGCGGGGGTCTGGCGTGTGGAATAGGTTTTGCTGTGCTCCAGCCTTGTGTGAGAGCTAGGGACTGCAGCTCTCCTGTCTGCATTATTTTAGAATGAATGGTTCTTTAATGGATTGGGCTATTCCAGCATTTCTGATTTAAGGTCTGTTGCAGCAAGCGACAGTTTTGATGCCAGTAACATATGTGAATTAAATTAAATTGCATTGCAGGATCCAGCCGGTCCGCTCTGACCCAGTCAGCATGCCAGGGTCATCCCGTCCGGTCTCTGATCGAAGGGGAATTTCCACCGTGATTGATGCTGCCTCAGGTAGAAAACCACCTCCAACATGTTCATTGGGTAGTTCTGTGCATTTTTAATCTCTCTTCTTGCACAGTGTGAAGAATGATAATTTTTTGCCTTTCTCTCTTGTTTAGTTTTGTTTTAGGATGTGTATGTGTGCCTGGTGTGTGTGTATGTTTTAAAACAATACTATGCCTACATTTGCTCCTAAACAGTGCCATGCATTTAAATATTGTTAAGGTTGGTGAATGATGCGGTGGAGTTGGCACTTGATTAAATGTAATGAACACAGTATTGAAGGCTACAGGGTTGATGACTGCTTTGCCTTTGATCTCTCAAACGTGGAGAAGCAACCTTGACAGAGAACGTAAATACAATATATGGATTCAATTTACTCAACCTGTTGAGTATCAAAGTGCCTGATCTATGGAAGTAGAGAGTCCAAATGCTAAGGCTTAAATGGTTTTATTATTGAAAGCATAAAGTTTAGAAATTCATTAACTTAACTCTAGTCTATCTATCACAGTTATTAACTTCCTATCCTTGGAACCAAGCCATGAATATGTATCATTAGTACCTGGAAGTAGATCTCTGCCTTTGTTAGGTGATACTTGCTACATTAGTATTGTAAACTGCTTTCTGCCAGCTCTGCCAAATACAGAACTGTTCGTAATAATTTTCTCATCTCTAAACGGAGTGATAAAGAAAATAAGGACAGTGATGCTTTCTATTACGGCACAGCTGTGGAGCATCTGAAGATAGCATGCGGCAGGGTTTCATCAACAAAAGTCTCTTACAAGTAGAACTATTAAATACTTGGCATTAGTAGAACAGTTGAGTCAGAGAGGATTTTAATCTACAGCAATTTTTAAATCCCCAGAGACTGCTGATTTGATTGAGGCTTAAACTGTGAAAGAAAATGGAAACAAACACAAAACTGATTTGTGAAGGTCACTTTTCAAAGACCAAAGCTTCTGTTTCTGATTTTGTCTTTGGATGGGTTTTGAAGTTTGAAAGCTAATGGCTATTGTACGTTTTCTTCCCTTTCTGACCTTTAAAATAATCTTATTTATTTGTTTGTTTGTTTATTTATTTATTTATTATTCATTTATTTATTTTGGTCTGTGGGTTGCACCTCATGTCGGACTGAGCTGTCCCCGTCCAGAGTGGTACCTTCACTTCTAATGCAGACTCTTACTTTAGAGGAGGGCTCATGCTTTTCCTCTGATTTACCTTGGCAGCCACAGCCATCCCTTGGAAACAAGCACTAAAATGTGTCTCTCTCTCTCCTTGCTTCCTGGCATTGAATGAGATATTGAGATAGGTGACTTAATAAATCTTCTTGGTAGTGTCAGTCTGAGAATGCTAACAGATGCTGCTCATCTGGAATTATCATTTACAATTGTGAACCCTGGAAATGATATATTTTAGTATTTTATTCAAGATTACAGTCATAGGCTTTGTCGGTTTTTTTAACATTGTTAAACTGCCCCATTATTAATGTTTTAGAGTCATCTGACTAGCTACTAGTCAAGTGCAATGCATGTAACTGAAGAAGCTACCGTGTGTGTCTGTTGCTAAAAGTTGCCATATTTAGTGCTGTAGGCTGAGGTAATAAAATACTCCATATTCATCATGTAGTACTAGCTTCGTTTTAGCTCTTTGCAAAGTTATCTCATGCCATAGAGAGGAACTTCAGTGAACTATTAGAAACATAGTTTTATTTGACTGTACTGCAAGAAGAGTTTTAAAGTTGATGTTGGAATGACAAATTAGATCTTCGCCCTTGACTGACTTTATTTCCATTGGAGACACACTGTAGGAGTTTCTAGGGTATTGTTCTACAGCTCTGAGCTTCTGCCTGGAAGTACCGATCTTTTGAGGAGAGAAAGGAATTCTTGGTGACTAAGCTCTATTGTTACTTTTCTTGGACTCTTTTCATTCTAGAAAGCCATAGTTCCTCTCTGGAAGACAGCCAGAGCAATGAAAGGGTGTGCTGCTTTCTCTAACTCTGAGCTAAAGAAACCCCCTAGGTGAGGAATTGGACTTTTATGCTTAACGCTCGACCTCTCAAATGGTTTGTTCCACATGTTTTTTAAGTGAGTGAATAATGCTTTGTTGGGGAAACTTTATCTACTTTATTTGATAGGACTACTGATGGTAAAACTTACTTTTCTCTTGATGTTTAACATGATGGATAGAGGCTAAATGGTTTGGAATCTTTAGGAGAAGTTGATGGGAAAATTCTGTTTGAGATTCTTCTATTAAAAAGAGTCTTAATATTTTTTTTAATTGCTCCTGAACCAGGAAGTGCTTCCCTGAATATGACCCCTGCATTGGAATCGGCTGCATATTATGAACATGCTTATTTGGAGTTTCCATTGCCTTTGCTTAGAGCTGTGACGAGTGTGGCGCCTCCTCTGATGGGGCTGCATTGCTGTGTGTTGCCTTCACGCCATTTGCACCTTGGAGTGGGTTGTCTTTTCAGTTCTTGCTGTGGCACATTTCGTAGCTGTCCCTCCGTTTTAGTGCCAGCTCTTGCTCCTTCTGTCTAATCTAGTGGTGATAGAATTTTCATACACTAACTTTTCAGAGACATAGAATTTAAAACTTTACTGTGATTTGATGAAACCTTTTGATTGTAACAGTTTTCAAAGTGAAGATACTTTATTTAAAACTTGACTCTGCATGTCATCGTTAAGATATCTGTGCATTAACCCGGGCATGTTGTTCTGTGAAACAAGAAGAGACCAGCAGAGTTGTGCCACTTTGGTGGAGAAATTCTTGTCCCACAATTCCTTGATCGTGTCGTATATCTGTGCTTAACTCCTCCCCATAGAATGCATTTCCTGAAATATGAATCGCAGTGTTTCTAGACAAAGCATGCGCAGATTGCTTACCCTTTGTTTCTCTGCGTGCTCCTTTTGGTTGGTTGCCTGCGAGTTTCCCCCGTTGTCTGTCATTTCCCTTGATAAAGGCGTAGGGCCCCTGACAAGAAAGTAAAAAGCGAGCTGTCAAGTCCTGTTGAAGCCTTGTCCCCCTTCCGGTGACTGGTGCTCTTGTTCCCAACCACGTCAGCCGTGCCCACTGGACAACTTTAGAGCTGGTTGCTTTTGAGTCACCTGCACAGAGCAGCTCGGGTCTGGTTTATCTGAGGGTTGTTTGTGCTGGTTTATAGTTTTATGGTGGAAATGGGTGTTTTACTAATAAGGAACTCAAAGCAACTGAGATTTAAAAACAAATTTATTCCTGGCTTGTGTGCTTGTGTGAAGAGCAGACATCTTTGTCAATCTCTACTAAAGAAAAGCATTTTATAGAGAAAATGTTATTAGGAACGGTAGGAACTGCATTTACATACACCCCTGAGGAAGGTGACAATAGGAGAGGGAAAGTTGAGACAGACAAGTAAAGGAGTTCTTACCCTCTAGCGCAGGCTTTGGTACACGCGGCTGGTAGTGGCACGTCAGGCTTCTTGATAAACGGGGACAGAGTTGTCGACGTGGTGGTGTTGTTGTTCTTGACTCAAGAGAAATATTATTTTTGTTCTACAATTGAAGTAATCTAAATAATGTCTATGATGTTAATTCAGGAGACCATTTTTCAGCACCCAGTTTTTCCCAGTATCACAGTAACTTGTTTACTGAAGAAAATGATATATGAAAAAAAATATAGTAGTTAGTTGTCCCTGCTTTATGTATTTGGCGTTCAGTGCATCAGACCTTTAAAAAACAAATCACACTTATTGGAGAGGTGTGATAGGGCAGGCAACAAGGAGATTATTTAAGCAAATATCTGCTGTAGGGATATTCTTACAGAGGCATGCATTTACCTTACAGAGGTTTCCTGATGCCCTAGGGGGAAAGTATTCCTAACGATTATATCTCACTGTGTCTGCAGTTGCCATTCAAATCTGAGGTAGGCAGACTTTGTATCTTAAAGCCACCAGAGACACAAGAGATGCCGGTGGTAAGAAGCAAAGAGATTTTTTAAGAAACATCATTTATTTAGCATACCATGGTGAGGCCACTGAACTCCATGATTTTAAAACTGAAGCTAGATTGCAGAAGCCATGACATTATAATCATGGTCTTGAACTTTTGCTGAAACATATGCAAAAATTTGTTTTACCTTTTTTTTTGGTTGGGGGGGGCAGGGATGTGGACAAATTATTGCCTAAAATAATTTCCAGATACAAAGGACATGTGTTCTTTAGAAGTACTGAAGTGTTTCTTTGAATAAGTGATGTGGTTTTCATTTAATAGAGTTCCAAATAGCCTTTGTGATTATAAGGTGTCGAAAACTGCAAGCATTCTTGTACCTTGGGTATTCAGAGCCTCTGTGGGATCAGTAAGAGGATTATGGACGAGGGTGAAATTGAAAGAAGGCTTAGTCTTGACCTGCGAACAGTCCCTGAGACAGGGGAAAGGAGGTCAGTGCTTTTATTTTGACACTATTTATACTTGAAATATTTAGTAAATGTTCAACCTCGGGTATTAAGATTGGCTTTTTTATTAGAAATGAGGAAGGTTGTGCATTATTTTATCTCTGATCTGATAAAAACGTACTGTCTTTATTAAATGAAAGATAAGTTTAAAAACATAGGAAAAGACCTGATTCACCCGACAGGAAAGTGCTTAGCCACAGCTCTCTCCTTCTGATTTAAATCTCCCTCTCATTCTTCTTTCTAATATTTATAGGATATTAGAAGATGAAATTCAGCTTAACAGTGTGGAAAAATTTAGCTCAGCACAATTAAGAAACAAATGATTGTCCCACTTGAAGATGAAGAAACTGTAAACAGAAGTAGAAGAAGCTGTTGGGAAAGTTTTTTCTGATGACACATTGCTTCTTTGAATAAATCTCTGTGTCAACTAAAACCTTGCCTTTGCTTTCTCTATTGCAAGCGCCAGGTCCTTGTTGTGACTTTATGTCTTTCCTAAGCATTTTCAGAAGGAGTTGATGGAATTCTCCCTACTGTTGATATACCACAGCAACACATAATTACATGGGACTTTCTGGCTAAAAGGCTCAGCTTTTCTTTTTTGTACTTTTATGACTATATCTTTAATACAAGGCTGGACTATTTATGTAGTCTGTTGCCTGAGACTGTGGTGGCAGAGGGACAATATTGGGGGCAGTATTAGAATTTGTTTAAGTCTGAACCGGGAATTCCATTTGTCTTAGTGACATTAGTGTCAAACTGTTAGTGCCACACTATTTTAAATTGTGTCCAAGAGCCCAAGAGGCCTAGGCTCATAGGTGTCATCTATAAACTTAGAAACAAACAAAGAGCCTCTCTCCACTGAATATGGAAGCCGAGCGAGCAATTAAAGAGCAGCCCCGGACTTCGCCCGGGCAGCTCGTCGGAACCAGAGCTCGCGAGAGTCCCCTGGATATTGTTGGAAACTGTCAGAGAGAAGCTAAAGCAAATAATCAAAGTGAAAATAATTGTTCCTGGGAAAAGTCTTGTTTTGGAAGCTAAGTGTAGTGGAAAGAATCGTGACTAGTAACTTTTGAATCGTTGGTTCTAGTCTCAGCTCTGCCTGTAACTATCTGTTCGGCATATTGTTTCAGAACTCCAGGCCTTCTTCCGTAGAATGAGGGATCAAAATAGGTTATTCCCAGATTCCCTTCCAGCTAAAAAAAATGGATTAAGTGCGTGCTTTGGATCACCTTTGAAGAATTTTTAAATGTTAGGATATAACTTACATATTAACAAGCATGCACATATCTTAATCATACGGCTTGAATTTTTATACCCATGTAATCACCATGCAGGTGAAAATTAGTATATCTTTATTATTCCAGAAAGTTCCTTTATGCTCCCTCCATCCAGTACAACCTCTGACCAGAGATTACCACTCCGACTTTTATCATCACAGATTTGCGTTGTCTATATTGAACTCCATGTAAATGAAATCATTCTGTACCTACTCTCTTGTGCTTGACTTCTTTTACTCAACTTAATGTTTTGAGACTCATCCAGGTGTTACATGTGTCACTAGTTCATTTCTTAAAAATATTGCAGTGCAGTTTGAATATAACACAGTTTATGTATCCATTGTCCTATTATTTGCAGTTTCAGGCTTATGAATAAAGCTGCTTTAAACTTTCCTGTATGTCTTTTTTTTTTTTTTAACTTATGCACTCATATGTTTTGGGCATAAACCTAGGACTAGAATTGTTGTCTCACAAAGTAGGCATATGTTTAGTTTTATTAGGAACTGCTAAGAAAGTATTCCAAAATGATTATACCAGTTTTCACTCTTAGCAATGTGTGATTCCTGACTGATGTGGCTCATTGGGTTGGGTGTTGTCCTGTGAACTGAAAGGTTGCTGGTTCGATTCCCAGTCAGGGCATATACCTGGGTTGCAGGCCAGGTCCTGGTTGGGAGCATGAGGCAACTGATTGATGTTTCTCTGTCACACATCGATATTTCTCTCTCTCTTTTTCTCCCTCCCTTCCTCTTTCTCTAAAAATAAATAAAATCTTAAAAAAGCAATGTGTGCGTCATTCCAGTGAATATATACACTGTGATTTTAATTTGCTTTTCTTCAATGTATACTGATGTTGAGCTCCTTGAATACAGGTGGGGCAAAAGGAGGTTTATAGTTTGAATGTACAAAACAGAGTTCATTCTTGTATTATTATTTATAGTTATTGTATTATTTTCCCTACGAACAAGTGTAAACCTAGTTTTGCCCTACCCTGTATTCTTACTGGTCATTTGAATGTCTTATTTTGTAATGAATTTATGAAGCCTTTCACTAATTTTGGGGGGGGGGGGTCTGTTTCCTGTTTTGAATTTCAGGTGTTCTTTAAATATTCTGGATGCATGTCTGTTATATATTTTGAAAATATTTCCTTTCATTTTATTGCCTTTTCACTTTCTTATTGGTGTTTTTGAAAAGCAGAGTCCAGTTTTTCCATTGTTTTTCCTTTTATGCTTTTTATAAAAATTTTTCCCTTTCAGTCTTGAAGCAATGCTTTTCTCTAGTTATTATATGGTTTTGGGCATTGTGTTTGTCTCTACAATTTTTTTCAAATTATTTTTTATTATGATATGAGGCAAGGATCAAAGGTTAGTTTTTTTCCATACAGATATGCAGTTGCTCTAGCACTATCAAAAAGACATGCCTTGCCCTGGCTAGGAGGCTCAGTTGGTTGGAGCAGTGTCTCATGCACCAAAACATTGAAGGTTCAATTCCCAGTCAGGGCACATACCTAGGCTGTGGGTTTGATCCCTCGTCAGGGCACATACAGAGGCGACCAATCAATGTTTCTCTCACCTCTCTCTCTCTTTCTGTGTGTGTGTGTGTGTGTGTGTGTGTGTGTGTGTGTGTGTGTGTATGAGAGAGAGAGAAACCATTGAGAAACATATTCTCGGGTGAGAATTAAAAAAGAAAAAAGACATGCCTTCCCCCCAAATGAATTCCAGATGCCTTTTTAAAAAACCCTATTTTTTTCTGCATTCTCTATTCTGTTCCATTGATTTATATTCTGTCTTTACACCATGATCATACTGTTTTAATTACTGTAGCTTTTTAGTAAGTTTTAAAATCTAGCAGGTTAATGCATTGGCTATTCTAGGTTCTTCGCGTTCCCATACAGACATATACGAACATACATACCAGTGGTTCATGGTGTGGCTCCTGGACCTTGGAAGTCTCCAAGACACTTTCAAGCAACCTATGAGCAAAAATTATTTTTATAAAAATAGGAAGTCATGATTTGCCTTTCAAAAATACTGTGTTGACAGTTAATACAGATGGCACAGAAGTAGTGGTGGATAAACCTGCTGGAACCGTAGCATAGTGAAAGCACTGTCTCCAAACTATGCTTGTAGTTGATGTTACTCACATTTGGAAAAAAAGCTATAATTACTTAAGAGTATCTTTGAGAAAATAACAATCATTACATTTATTATAAATTTTTGAAAATTAAAATTTAATAAATTAACTTTATTAAATTTTGCTGCTTGTGTACTTCTTTTTAATATTCTCTGTACCACAGTGCATGATGGTTGTGCTAAGGAGATGCACTTGTCTGATGGTTGTGAGTTGACCTAGCAACCATTTTACCTCAAAGAACAACCGACAGTTTGTTTAGACACAAGTATTTGGCACACAGTTTCTCAAAAACAAAGTAAGCCAGCCACTTCAAAAAACCCCAAAAACCTGACATTATTACCAGTGATAAAATTCTAGTCTTTACTTGAAAATTGGAAATTTAAAAATCACATATTTACATGTATTTACCACTGTCTGCTTAACAGGTTGCTAGTATTTAAAGACATTTTTGATGAGACCTTGGAAGAATGTCATATAAGATAAATTGACATTTGAAAAATCTGTAATGTTTTCAAAATGACCAGTTTTATGATGTGACAAAACTATGGGTAACAGCTCATTCCAAGAGTAAGGATTTTAATATAAAAGAATAGAAAAGTTAATTCATAGGGTTTCAGAGATCATTGCAACTCACTTGTTAAGTGTCATATTGAAGAAGGATATCCCCCGAATCTGAAAAGGTTCAGAATCTGAATATGCCTCATCTCTTTCCAGTTAGATTTTGTGAGTGAGGCCAACTAGTCTTCACACTCTTCACCCAGACACATATCGCAGCGGATTGAATGCGTAATCTGATCTGAGAACCTACCTGTTATCTGTTTCAAAGTTTTCTACCCCAAAAGTAAAAATGCCACTTACGTTAATGCATGAAGGGTTTCTTGGTGTTTTTCAATGAGTTAAAAATAAATGTGTTTGATGTTGATAGATATAATGCACATAAGTCAAAACTCTTAGTAGTTCTCAGTTTTTAAGAGTATAAAGGGGTCCTGATTCAAAAAAATGTTTGAAAACCATCAATTTACTGAATGTGTGTGTTGTTTTGTGTGTGCGCACATGCGTGTGTGTCCTCTTACACATGTACATTAACTATATGTTTGTAGAAATTTAGGTGAGATTTGATGATAAGTTCATTGAATCTGGAATCAAATTGGGAGAATTGATATCTTATAATTATTAAATTCTTCAATGTGTGAACCTTTTATAGTTATCCATTTATTTAGGCTTCTTTAATTTCTCCTAATATTGGTTAAGTTTCAGTGTAGAAGTCTGAAACATATTTTTGTATTATTTTAATTATTTGATGCTTTGATGTTATTATAGTATATTTTATTTCCTCTTTCAGGTTTTCTATAGCTTATAGACTGCAGTATTTTTTGTATGTTGAACTTCTATCCAGAAACCTTTCTAAGCTCATGTATTAATTCTAGTAGATTCCTTTGACTTTTCTACTATGCAGTCATGTTATCATCATAATATCTGCCAATAAAGATGGTTTATTTCTTTTCGATCTTTATACCTTTTATTTCTTTTCCCTCTTTATACTTGCTTAGACATGTAGTACAAAATGTTTGACTAGAAGTGATGATATCGAACATTCTTGTCTTCTTAATCTGAAAAAACGTAAGATCTTAAATAATTCATTGAATGAGCTTAATAGCTGACTGCAAGCCGAAGGGTCAGAGAGTCCAGAACAAGTCAGAAATTACCGATACTGAAGCAGAACACAGTGTAGGAAGAGTGGGAGTGAGCATGGAACTGTCTGACATGTTTAACTGTCACCCATGGATGACGAGAAGGAGAGAGCAGAGCAGCAGAAAAGAAGGGCTGAGAATTTTCCAACATTAATTAAAGATGTCCACTAGAAGTTTCAAGAAGCTCCATGTCCCCTCTGTAGGATAAACACAAAGAAAACCATACCTAGGTGTAGCACAGCCAAACTGCTGAAGTGTAAAAATCATGAAGTGCTTTTGAAAACCTATGTTTCTTTGTTGGCTTCATACTTGGGGGAGGTTTTAGAGCTTTGACAAAGTCATGGTGATTTTTAAGTTTCTTTGGCAGTATGAGATCCTTGTCTCCCAGTGATCTATCAGAAATCTTCAGGATTTGTGTTTTTGTTTTAAAGTAGAAGATCTGGGAAACAAGTATTTGTTGATAGACGTCTGTGTGCCCACCACTGTGCTGGGTTTTCCCATGGCGCATCTCACTTTGTCACATTTAATTAGGATCACAGGGCCATTTCAGAAGTATGCTGAGAGCAGGACGTAGGACTCCTAGCTCCGGATACTTAAAATTACTTAAAGTGCATCGTGGTGACACCTCACATAAGTCCAAACCCCTTTTTACCTTGCCTGATCAAATATGCACCTCAAAGCACTGTAGGCCGAAACGAGCCACGTGAGCGCTGAAGAGAATCAACTATTCAGGTGGTGAAAATGTGTGAATGCAGCTGGCAGATGAAGTTCCAGTGCGATGAATTCCCAGCTTGTCCTTATGGCTTCGGGCGACAACTGACAGGCCCGGCTGGTCATTGCCTTTCCATTTCTGGCATTGATAGGACGGAAAATTCTTAGTGTGACAGATACTTAAAAGCTGTCCCTGTTATAGTGGATCCAAACAGCGCTGGAGGGTCCTTTTTGCATAGAGATGTAATCAATATGGTCTAGAGTTCTTGACCCGGACCTATAATTATCTGGACATTATAAAGGTAGCTTGTTGTTACAGAAAATGCTTATATTCAGAACTTGGGGGCTAAGTTGTGAATGGAGAGAAGAAAAATAGAGGCTTTGTCCTTCTATACTTGACAGTATTTTGAAGGCTAGCAGAATAATCACAGAGCAGGGTATTCTTACAGGATTAGAACATTGGAGCTTTAGCATTTGGGGCGCCGAAGCCTACCTCTCACCTCCGATGTTATCCTGATACCCCGCAAAGGTTGTGATGTTAATGTTATGCAACTTGCGATTGGGATTTTTTTGAAAACCAAAATGGAATTTTTTCATTGATTCAAATACTTGGATTTGAAGTGCAGCTTGAACAATAACACATTAGAGTTTGGTCTTTTCCGGCAGCTAACGATATGCTGAGAAAAGAAATAGTGTAAGCAGATATTAATGGCATTCTTGGTCCTGGGGAAAGAGTGAATTGAAGGAGACAACACTGGAGCAAATCTTAAGTCACTGTCTTTACCAGCGCATTAAAGTATATTTTGATTGGGATTAATGTGCCACCTGAAAATAGTAAACATGCAGACATAAAGTGATTTA